GGGGGGGGAGGAGAAGAGAAGGGGTCTGTCTGCATGTGTGTCTGTGTGGAGAGACAGAGTTCTGGAGCCCCAAAGGAGTTCTACAGTATACAATGGTTTTCAAAATATGTGTCTTGTAGATATGAGCACGTAGGCAGGCAAAATCAACATGTGATTTCTCTCTCTCTGGGCTGCAGCGCTCCTGGAGACTATGCCAACCTAACTTTCACGGAAGCTGCATTTTTCAGGTGTTTAAAGGTGCATGAGTAATGGAGTATAACCACATGCCTCACAACTTAGTCTATTCAAGAGTACTATACATCACTAGGCCCAAATAAAGAGTAAAATGCCAGGGAAAGGAAGGATCTGCCAGGTATATAGATAAAATAAACATTTTCTAAAAACAGCCATCAGTGATGGGAAGAAGGTGCTGTGGCATGGCAATTCACCCAAATGATGGCAATACCAATGATACCCGCTCCTCTTTCAAAAGGGCTCCCCAAGATGTGGGCAATTTTACAATTTGGTTAGGCTCCACAAGAGTCTGCCTCGTTCTACCCACTGTCAGGGTTGTGCTGACCAGTCAGCGCTGACCAGTCAGCTCTAACCTCCACACAAGTAAAGTGGGGGTTGCAGGCTGCATGTCCCACTGCATTAGGTACAATACCACCACTAGGGGTCCGGTGCTTGGGTTGCATTAGCAGGAATTAATCCAGCTCTGTTATTCATTTAGGGACAGTACAAAACAAGCACTTTTTTATTCCAACTGCAACCATTTAAAATAGGGAAAAACAAGGAAAACGAGTTTCTCATACTGATTCAGAATGAGGCTCAGGGTTCCAATGGAAGCAAAAAGGTCTGTCCACAACATAGGGAATGGAAGCCAAATGGGAGTCTCTATTGAAGGAAGATTCAGAACGGATCTAGGATCTCAAGGGAAAGAGTAACTTTTGTAGAGTTTGTGTGGCAATGCCTTCCCAAGTCACTTTGTATTAAAGACACTGGCTGTTTCTCCTGCACGGTAGTTAATTTCCAGCATGATCACCAAGCCTAAATGGCCTATTTGAATGGTAGTTTACAAGTGATTAATTTCAGGAAAATAGGAAACGTACAGTCATGAAGTAATGGCACCTTGACACAGCACAAATCTGTGTTTAATATTTGAGACCCGCAATATATTCATTAGTTATTTCACACAAACAACTCCACTAGCAGCTTTTGTGGATCCAGTAGACAAAGTGGTTAAAATTTGCCAAGTAGTGGGTAGCAAAGAGAGTCATACTTTGAGAGTGGAAGTGGAAACAGGAATTTGGAAGTATCTAGAAATAAACAAGTCTTTTGTTCTGGTATGTTGTTCGCTGTTATATCTTGCATGAAACATAGGTAGTATTTATTGTAAGTTAGATTGACTCTTCTTTTTTGGGGTGGGTGGGGGGAGGGGAGAACGTCCCCTCATTCTCAAGGGTGTTATTTAACAAACTTCAATTATGGAAGAACGCAATGGGGGAACAAAGATAATTGATAACTTGAATTGCTAACTTGGGGTTTGCTCAGTCAAAGAGCAACCCTCAGAAATTGCCCTGTCACCTGAAAGGGAGCAGACAAAGAAGAATAAACTCTATTGCACTTGTGTGCTTTGTGGCTCCATGGCACAAAATTGATAGAACATGTATACTGAGCCAAAGTCAATATGTATATTTTTCCCACTCCCATGCACATTTTGTACGTGAGGTGGGGTTGGTTTCTCCTCGGGGCTGAAGAAGTGTGAAAAAGACCAGCAAACAGAGAGAAGCAAAGTACCAAACCTTACCTCAAGAAAGCCCAACTCATCCAGGAAGCTCCGGAGGTATGTGATGATCTTCGCACGGATTATAAACTTCTGTCTCACATAGTCATTCAGAATTAAATCCAAGTATCTTTGACGAAATCTAGTTTCCTGAAAAGGATGGATAATTTTAGAACAATCTAAATTATACTTATTGCCAAAGAGAAAAAAATAAAACTTGATCTTCATTTGGTGCACTGATACCAATGATACCACACACACAAAATCTGCCAGTTTGGCTTCAACACCAGGAGTGGTTGTTACCTTGTCTTTGAGCCCAAAGTGAAGGTGGGGCAACATGTGCAGGCATGGAGAAAGCAGAGAGATTTCCCAGGGAATAATGCTCAGCTCCCCTTTCTTTGTCTTTCCAGGACTCCCTTGAACTCCAATAATGTCCCCCCGACGCAGCTTGTTGTTAATGTGGATATATTCTTCCTCTGATTTGTAGTTCCTGCAAGTGGAAAAATAAGCACCTTTTAAGCACTTTTTGTCCATAGATCAAGCTCTGCTGAGTCTCTTCCCACCCAAAACACTTAATATTCAAGTATCAGAGGGGTAGCCGTGTTAGTCTGTACCCACAAACGAGGAGTCCAGTGGCACCTTAAAGGCTAACAGATTTATTTGGGCATAAGCTTTCGTGGGTAAAAAACCCACTTCTACTCCATGCATCTGAAGAAGTGGGTTTTTACCCACAAAACCTTATGCCTAATTAAATCTGTTAGTCTTTAAGGTGCCACCGGACTCCTCATTACTTAATATTCACTTATTGGCTAGCATAGGAGCCTCGAGGTCCTGTACTGTGTTCGCCACCACCTGGCTACAGACTAGGAATCTGAAATGAAGCTCACAGGCATCCGGAAGAAGAAGATGTCATCTGCTAATCTGCTCCTCTCAGAAAGTACAGTTTGATTTAGAATGCTGCTATGGCTATCCCTAGTTACCTGGAGTTTGCCATAACTTGCAATTTGACTCCCTCTCCACGGAGATCATAGAAGATCAGTTTCCCTCCAGAGGCACGTTTTGCATGGATTCGACCTAGAAACCCAAAGTTAGATGGTCCAATGGTTACAGCAAGTCAAAGTCAGAACGCTTTCCATTTTCCCAAAACAAAGATACAACTCCATGCCCAAGCCAAGGCACAGCATCACTCCTACCTTATACCCAGGCAACATATCACCAACCTCCATCCCATCATTGGTTGGCAAGGTAATGGAATCTCAGAATTAATCCCTCTCATCAGACCTGCTCCCTTGCTTGTCAAGGACTCTAAAGCTCTACCTTCTATCCCAAAGGTCCCAACCCTGCTACAGCCTTAGCACCATGAGGAATTGCTGAGCAAGGTCCACAGAGTTGTGGAGGCATTCCCATCTATCTCCCTCCAAGAATGGTAAGTGCTTGTCTTCACAAAGTGGCAGACTGTCTCCCCCAAGTCCCAGGTGAGTCTTTACCTGCCACTCTCACTGTAATGTCTCTCAGGTGATCTCCTGCCTGCAGGTGGCTGTACCTCTCTATGAAGTCTGTGAGGGAAAGGCTTACGTGGAACTTGTGTGGGTAAGGATCTTCATTGGTTCCTTTCAGCTGCTGGATTGCCTGACTGCGGATCTTGTAATATTGCTGTCATCAGTCATAAACAAGAACATTTATGTTAGACACCAAAGGGATTGTACAGCTCACAAGTTAAAGCAGAGTTGATTTGACTTGTGAATATTTATTTGACAAGTTAGACAATACCTGAGTGACTAAGGCTTTTTCATCTCAGAAGAGTCAGCTCCTCTGACAGAAAGCACAAAAAAAAGGCAGAGGGCACTTAAGAGGTTGGACTAAGAAGAGGCTAAATGAATGCAGTGATGAAGCAAGAAGAAGAGAGTCATTGCTTTAAGCCATTACCATTCAAACCTTAGATACATTGTAGTTATGTTCCTGAAAAATGCGACTTTAAGCGAAACGATGTTAAGTGAATCCAATTTCCCCAT